CATTCAACCATTCTTTCTTCTTGAGAGCTTCTTCAATGCCCACTGGTTCAGAATCTGCTAACATGGCACACTGAACGACTTCTCCTTCAGAGTCAACTTCGTTATCCTGTAACATGTCGAAATCTGAAAACCTGCTTGGTTTTTGTCTGATTCTTTGTGGTCTCCGAGTTTGTTCTGAAGCTGCACCAAAACTAATACCTTCAGAGTTACCACCTTCAGAGTTTTCCCTTCCAGAACTATGATCACCACCAAATTCTGGATCAGAATCTGCATCTGGATCAGAATCAGATCCATTATCAAAATCTTCTTCTGACTCATCTTCAGGATCTTCAGAATCAGATTCATCTTCTGAACTTTCTAAAACATCTTCAGAGGCTAACTCTGGTGTTAACACTACACCAGAATCTGATTGGGACTTGTCCCAATCCCATGTTTTAGACTCTTTCACCACAACATCTCTGCTGATTTCAACTTTATTAGTTTCTGGACAATAAAGCTTATACGCACCTGTACTTTGATACCCCACCAGCAACATTACTTTGTCTGTATCATCAAGTTTCTGTCTTCTAGCTTCTGGAACTTGTTCGTAATAGACAGAGCCAAACACCTTCAGATGACTGACACTCTGCTTATCTCCAGTCCATTTTTCGTTGGACACATGTTCAGAATATATGTTGATGTGGCAACAACTTCTCCCCATAACACATGAGGTAGCTTTTTCTCTTTCAGCATGCTTCTAGTCATATCAAGCAAAGTTCTGTTTCTTCTTTCAGCAAGACCGTTGTGCTGAGGAGTATATGGAGCAGTAACCTCGTGTTCTATTTCACTCTCGTCACAGAACTTCTGAAACTCTGTAGAGTTATACTCACCTCCACCATCTGTTCTCAAAATCTTTAACTTTTGACCACTCTGCTTCTCAACCTTCACTTTGAACTTCTGGAACTCAGTAAACACTTCATGCTTGAACTTGATGAGTGTTACCCATGTCATTCTTGTGAACTCATCAACAAAAGACACAAAATATTTATTTCCTCTAAGTGAAGGTACTGGAAATGGTCCACACACATCAGAATGTACTACTCCCAGAGCATGCTTCGCTCTGGAGGCTACTTCAAATGAAAATGGCAATCTGGTTTGCTTGCCTTTCATGCATATCTCACATGACTTCTCAGGCTTCACAATCTTTGTAATACCATGTACAAGCTTCTTAGAACATATATGCCCTAGGCTTCTATAGTTCAAGTGCCCCAATCTCTTATTCCACAACTTACTGTCACCTTCAGCGCCTTCTCTACTAAGACACGTTGCTTCAGCTGTTTCTACATTTACCTTGAAAGCTCTGTTGCTTCCTTGTTCAGACTTCATAATCAACTTCTGGTTAGAATCATATAACGTCAGGAGATTGTTTTTCATAACAATCGAGAAACCTTTCTCAATCAGCTGACCCACGCTCATTAGATTGCTTCTAATACCAGGAACATACCAAACGTCTTTGATCAGAATGTCTTTCCCATTATTCACTCTAACTCTGACATCTCTCATACCTTCTACATTAAGATACTTATCGTCAGCACATCTGATCTTTGTTCTCCTTCTGGAGTCAAAGTCTGACTGTCAGCCACTATTTGTTTCCAGTTAAGTGACTTGAACAACCAGTGTCCATATACCACCAATCTTCTGAGCATTTTCCATCAGAATCAGAAGCCATTAGTAGCACAGGTTCATCATTAAAGTTTCTTTTAGCCATATATGCTTCTTCTGATTTCCTTTCCTTGTTTGACCTACAATCTCTGGCAAAATGGCCAAATTGTTTACAAGAGTAATATTGAACCTTCCTTTTGTCATACCTCTCCCTTCCTTTATGATATATCTTATCATCAGAAGTTGAGGTTTCTAACTTCTGGAATCTATCACCACATCTATTCTGCTTCTGGTCTTTCTTGACAAAAGAAGCCTTCAGAGTTTGCTCAGCTTCCTTCTTAGAAGTTCTCTCAGACAAATGTAACTCATGTACTTCTAAGATGCTTTGCAATTCTTCTATTCTCATGGTTTCCAGATCTTTAGAATGTTAAATAGAAATAACAATGTAATCAAACTGAGGGGTAAGCGACCTCAAAATCTTCTATATGATTACATGTTCAGATAGAGTTTCTCCATACGCCTTCATCTCTTTAGTGATCAGAATCACTCTAGAGATATATTCAGAAACTTTCTCACTGCTCTTCATGTGTCAAGTTCTCATATTGATTTCTCAAGGATTAAAGCTTCACCTTATTTACTGAGGCATCCCCACCATAACATCTCACCAGTAACTCCCACGCCCTTTTTGACGTTGTTGAATCAACAATCTTCTCGAACACACTTTCATCCACACACTAATGGATATAGAACAGAGCTTTCTGGTCCCTCTTCCTCGTTACCCTCTCAGCAGTTCTCTGTTCTTCAGTTGCATCTGCTGCAGCTGATATATAACCATCTGTAACCAGATCCAGAACATCTTGCGCACCAAACAACACACGCATTGTATCATCTATCTGTTCCAGTTTTTGCCATTAAAAATGGGAGTTTGGTGTTCAAACTACTGCCTCCACTCATTTTAAACCTTACAAAGATTTTTCAGATCTTCACACACACTGTTTCCCAACCCACTGAATCAGATTTTGTTCAAGATTTCAACAGAAAATCAATGAACCAAAATCAAACACACAAATTACAATCACTCGTGTTTCCCAGGAAAAACAGAACCAAGTGCTCTGATACCAATTTGTTGGTGCAAGGTAATGAAGTGGGAGAAGTAGAATGAACAAAATGATAACAAAACTACTGTTGTATTATAAAATAGAGGAGATAGAATTGTGTACAATATTGATAGGCTAGTATAGCATATTTATACTAAATATTGAAAATTCCAAAAGGCCCTATTAAAGAATAAGCATTGAAAATTGTAGACATTAACTAAATTATATTTCCAATACTCCACCTCATCAATTTAGGGGTATTTTGTGTCATCAAATCACAAAACATCTTTTAGAAAGTTTTGATTTTTCAAATTTTCTTTGTGTCATACTTATGTTTTAAATCTACCTCAGTTGCAGATATCCTTGGTTTGCACCAACACTATGAGCATTGGAACTGATTTTGGGCAACGTTTCGTTATATGGTAGCGATTTTACAAAAACAAAGTAAGACAAACCATAATATTCATCATTGAATCCGATCATAAATTCGTTTCATTAACTTTTTTTCATTCACTTTTTTATCCAAACACATCCTTAATTTTTTAATAGATTTTTTTTTCTTCTGGTGTTTAACTATATAATAGGAATATGTAGTTGTTGGAAGAATATATCCATCACTAAGAGGTTACAATATTAATCCAAGGATGCACTACCCCTTTTATTTTATCGTTCATGTTTTTCATGATTTTGGATTAAATAAAAAAACATTACTTTGTTGCAAATTTCAAGGTGAATACATATGCTAAGTGTTGTGAAAACGATGCTAAGAACAGAGTATAATAGGTTTTTTTGAGGCAAGAAACTCATAAGGTATGAATCAGGAAAACAAGAAGAACACAAGGAATTGGTTATTAACTGCTATTCTTTTTATTTGAACAATTTTCTACCCCACAAGACTCAACTGCATACGATTCGCATATTCCTTTATTAAATGTTTTGAGTCTTCTTAAAGAAAGAAGTTTTTGTTTTAATGATGCAAAAAGGGAATGAAAAAGTCTAAGGGAGACTAACAATTCTAATGTTATCATGTAATGGTGGTCCTAAAGTTTGGATAACAAAGGGGAATTTTTACCTAAGTTAGCATGCATGGATTACAACCTAATGTCCAACTTGAATCGAAAACAAAACAAGCAATCCTAAGGGAGCATGCAAAGGTCTAAAGAAAAACACAAACACAAGTGCAATCGAATAAAGTCGAACCAAAACCAAAACAAAATCAAGTGCGAGCTAGCAACAAACAAAGAATCCAATGGATTTCAAAGTGGGAGTAAGGAACTCTTTCCACTTGATTTACTCAAGCACCGATATCGAGTAATAACTCAAAGCGTCAACATTCAAAGAAACATGAGCTAACACCGTTGAAGAGAACGACAAAGTGTGAGGGTTGGTTACAAACCCTTTTCCATTTTATTTGACTCAATGAACAAGAATGAGCACGATTCAAAGTATCAATGTATAACGCGAGCTAAGAACGACCAATAGGCTTGAAATTGTGGGGGCCAATTGCGAGCCCTTACTCCACTTATTGACTCGATAACAAGCACGAAGTAAAAGGGAAATGGGAGGGAAGTGGGATTTTCCTTCGTCGATGTCTTTTGCATACAAACAAACACAAACACTGCCTTTATCAAGGACTTTTTAACAAAACAATATGCAAAAAAAATGCCTTCGAAAGGTCTTTAAACAGATTTGTCCACCTAAAGTAGGAACTCTCAGTCATGCCTCTCTATTCCTACCTCTCATGGCAAGGAAATAAAAATTATGCGGGAATGAGGAATAAAATAAAGTTCCAATGATACCTAATAGAGAAGGTCTGTTGCCTCTTCAAAGTCGCGCAAACGATATGAAAGCTCAACACCAAACTTTCTTGAATTTCCTTAATGTAAATTATGCTTTTAACTAACTTTGAAAACTCTTGAAATTCTTCAACAATCATCATACAATCAATTTAAAAAATCAATCCCGACAATTATCCAAAGAGAATAAAATTTAAGAAAATTGAGAGGTGCATGCTATAGACAGTGGTGTAGTCAAGGGATAGAAATCTGGGCGCTAGGCCCATTCAGATTGAGTCTATACTACCTTTTTTATTACCCAACAAAACAACTCATCAAAAAGAAGTTGGACTTATAGGAAAAAAAGGGTGGTTCGGCCCAAACAATCAACAAAACTACCCTATTCAATTTTTTTTTGTTTCAGTCATTACTTAAAGAACAAAAGAAAATATAAAAGAAACGTGGAACGGTGCGTTTAACAAGAGATATGGTTTGTGACTGTTCAGCTTTTCAACAACGATATCTCTTCTTCTCACTTCAGATCCGCCGCGCCAACCTCACCACTCCCTTTTCTCCGATCAACATCATCATAGCGCCACCATGGATTTCTTCACTCAGCCTCGTATCAATTCGTCCATTCGATTTCGTTCACAATACTTCTGATCCAACTCACTCAAAACGCTGCGGAATCGATCCTCGAATTCGTGACTCAAACTCAGTTTCGATTTAACAAGTTCAATCAATTTTGACGCAAACAAACACACACAAGTTGCATAGTGAAGGAAAAGCTATGAAGAAAGGAAAATCGTTTACCTACCGGAGAACTCCGGTGGCTATTCGATGCGGCGGCGCTAATCCAGATAACAATCTTCAGGCAAGCACTTCTGCCTTAAACTCCACTTGTTCTATTCTTGATTCACGGAATGAAGATGATGTCGTGTTGATGCATTGAGCAGAAGATGAGGATGTGCGATTTGCGGAGAAGTGTTGCGGTTTCTTTGCGTTGATGATGCAGGTTACAGAAAGATGAAGTTTGTTGAAGATGAAGCAAATGATGAAGTTCTTGATTCACGGATGAAGATAATGATGATGTGGATTGGACTCCGTGAAGAAAGTTGAAGTTGCACATAGAGAATATGAAGGTTGTTGAGGCTCAGAGAAGAAGATAATTTGCAGGGGATTCAGATAAAGATTGAAAGAGAGAAGTGAGAGAGTTTTCAGATATTTTTGGTGATTCTCCAAATGATGAAGAATGTTGAAGATGATGATGAAAGAGATTGAAGGAAGTTGAGAATTGATGAAGCCATGAATCAGAGGGAGAGTTTGAAGAAACTTCTGGGGAGTTTTTTTGTGAGATTTCTTTATAACTGATTTTCTGTTATGGAATCGTATTATCTGTGAACTCTGTTTAGAATAGATAGTCCCCTGCAGAATCCTGAACTCAGTTTCTGTTATATGGTTTATAGTGAGAGCAAAGAGTTTGTTACATTTGAATCCAATCTCGGTCCTCGATTCACTGAGTTAGTTATCAATCTTCGATGGTAAGGATTGAATCGGGTACTGAGCTGTCATTCTATTTTCTGATTTTTAAAAGTTTCCTCTTATCTCTTTTGTACTTTTCCTCTGATTTTTCTTTACGGTCTTATCTGCTGATTTTATAATTTTATCTAACTGATAGCTTGTGAGTTTTTTTCTTTCTGTTGGAGTTAGTTCCAAAACTGTTTTGGATAAACTGGCAGTTTGTTGAAATCATGGTGAATTGACAAATTCTGATGAAGTTTTCACCATTTTTCCTTCTGCTATTTTTTTGTTAAGTTTTAACTAGTCATCTAGTTTCTTTGGTTTTATGCAGGGCAATTGTTTATTACAAACTGATTTTTCTTATATGGATTGGTTTAATGGTGTTAGATTGAAACAGGTGCGGACTGGTTTTGGTACCGGGCGGCCGAGTGCATATCTGCTTTAGTTGTTTTTGTGAATGTAAGTTTGTGGTTAATGGCATGAAGGCAAGCTGGGGACTTGATTGATTGGAAGCATGTCAAATATTGAAGATGGAGATTAGGATTTAGATTTAGGAGATATGTAATTCTTCTATTTGGTATATGATGATGTATTGATGATTTTGGAATTGTAATATTGGACTCAAAAACTTGGCAATGTATCAGTGATGATATACTTGGTCTAAACTTGTAATGGTTTTGAATAGAATTTGAATCATTTTTCTTCCACCATTTCCTTTTGATTTTAGTTGTATCTTGTAGTGTCTTGTGACATCTCTCGACTTATACTTTTAACATCCCTTCTAAAGCCATAATCTTGAACTAACTAAAATTTTCTTTTGCCTTTGAATGGAGGAGTTTAAGTGAATCATGATGAACATTGATGGAATTTTCTTGATATTTGAATGAATAATATTGAATGGATGTGGCTTGAAACCTTGATGAAGTGAACTCAACCGAGTTGGAATTTTCTTGATATTTGAATGAATAATATTGAATGGATGTGGCTTGAAACCTTGATGAAGTGAACTCAACCGAGTTGGAATTTTCTTGATATTTGAATGAATAATATTGAATGGATGTGGCTTGAAACCTTGATGAAGTGAACTCAACCGAGTTCAAATATTGATTCGAAATCCAACTTCCCTTCTCAAAGAGCCTTTAACTTTTAGCCCCAAATCCACTAGCAATTTGCATGATAAACCATAACCAATAAGCAATGGAGATAACCACAATAAAACCATAAACCACATTTTGTATCCCGAATCCTGCTTTGCCATTCAATCTTCAATCCTTAATGATCAATTATCTCAACACAAAAAGAATGTCTTGGAGGAACCTTGAAGATGAATAGGAAAAGATGAAGGGAGTAAAACGAATGTCTTGGAGGAACCTTGAAGATGAATAGGAAAATATGGAGGGAGTAAAATCAAGATGACCCTTGCCATGTGCGCATCAAGTCTTACTTAATCAACTTGTGATCCCAATAATGAAATACATCCTTTGAATCACTTCTTAAAATAGGGAAATAAACTCTCATATGATGATCCAAGCAATATAATGCCTTGAGGAGAAGTCAACAATATTAGGGAAAAAACCCTAAATCATGACCCATGAATCTCAGTTGAAATCAACCTTGGAAGTGTAGAACCCTTTACACCTTGTAAAGCCCTAGCTAGCTGATCATTGACCTTTTGAATCAAAGCGCTTTATTGAATGAAATATACGATTATGCAGATGACCTAATGAAAAGATGTGGATGTAATGTAATCCTAAGCCATCAGATAACAATAAATTAGGAGGAAAATTTTTGGAGTGCAACAACTTCGACTACAGTATATAGGTCTTCAACACCCGCATGTGAACATACTTTGACGGCATGCTAAACTCCCGTCGAACTGTCAAACAAAGAAGCTATCCTTCAACCATCTAAAGTTCGATCAAATTCTCAGACTAAGAACCTACTGGCGTGCCAAGGGTTGGGAGTGCTACTAACTGGTCTAATGATTGAGTAGTGTTTTATTAAAAATTTTCAAATGTTATTTCATTAAATGTAAAAAACTACATGATACTACCAAATGACTTCAAATGGAGAATCTGTCATTTGCTATGTCAAGCTACGACTTATACTTTTCTGTTATATAAGTTCAGGTGACAATGATCTTGCCGTTAACGGAGCAACAATACTCCAGATAGTTTCAGAAAATTGTGTAGCTATTTGGAAGTCGTTGGGAATTTATACCGACGAATAAGGCAAAACAATCGACAAGTTTATTTCTGTTTTGGGAAACCCCTGCCTCTTGCCAGGATATTGATTATTCTGATGAGTTGAAACAACTTAAATTGGAAATGGACCAAATGAAGAAGTATTGAACTTGGAAAATGAATTTCAAAATATATTTTTATGGTAGCTATTATATTTGCATGATGACTTTATTTGCATAATAAAGATATGCAGGAGCTCATTGATGAGAAGAAAAATAAAAATGAAAGTAACACGATGAAGGTGAATTGTGAATGCTTTAATAATTTAATGATTTTGCTGTATGCTAAAACACTTTATGGACATATTTCATTGTACATAAAGTGAAGAGGCAGGGGGTGAATCTTTCATTGTACATTGTGCTCATATGTGAAGTTATTGATCATGGTTTCTATTTTAATTTTGCTGTTCATTACTGATTCAGGACATATTTGTCGTACTTTCCAATGACAATTAAAGACTTATTCTTACAAAGTGAAGAATATCTACTTAACCTTTATGTTTTTGATTATGCTATTGATATGTGATGGTTTAATTGGTTAATCATATGGTTACTGATATTAATTTTTTTCCCAATAGTACGAGGATTATGGAGAAGACTTTGTGGACATGTTGGAAGGTATCTTTCCGTTTGTTCTATTGGCTCCAAATGCGATTGGTGTAACTTCTCTATACATTGGTTAGAGAGTAGATGGTAATATTATATATGTTATTGGATTTTTATTTTTTTGAATTTGAAGAAATTTGAATCGAGAAAGTTTTGATTGTGTTTGGATTGAGGTTCGGTTTTGATTTCGACAGTAAACACGGTAGTCATGAAAACAAACCTTTTGAATTAGAGCAAACTACAAACTTTAAGGTTGGGACCAATTGTGTATCCATCTTAGAAAGCATTGTTGGATCAAAGAAGGTTAACTGGACTCGAATAACAGAACTTGCACGTGCCATCTCAAATTTTAAAATGTACTCAGTTCATAGAAATTGATTCATGATATGACAGTAATTTTGGTGGTGATTTTTGTTGTTCTTTTTTATTTTCATGCTTATTGTTTGATGAAATCAACAACATTTCCATCGAAATTGATTGCTGATTGTTTCTCATGTCCATCTAAAGTAAATAGGAGTACTTAATTAGAATGAGTAATTGTATTTATTCTTTAATGAGTATTAATTCTAATATAAATATAGATTAATTGATGTATAACTTTGAAAACCAAATCTGTCAAAGAAAAAAAATTTGAAAACCAAATACTGTTATTGATACATAATAGTCACACAAAGTCAGTAACATATATCGACAAACTGAAGAATATATATATATATATATATATATATATATATATATATATATATATATATATATATATATATATATATATATATATATATATATATATATATATATATATATATATATATATATATATATATATATATATATATATATATATATATATATATATATATATATATATATATATATATATATATATATACTAACAATGTGGGTGGTCAACTTTTATTATTAATCATGAATTTTTTAGTATATGAAATTTTATAAATTGGCAATATATAAGTAATACACATCACTAACATTTTTATTATTAATCTTGAGTTTTGAATAAATATTAAATATATTTTAATTATTAGCAAATAAATATTTTTTAATTTCAAAAGAAATTAATCATGAGTTATTTACTAAATTGTATAATTAATAATTGTAAAAATTATTTTTATGAACCAAATAAAACTTTATAAAAAAATATTTTTATTACAATATACGAATTATACATAAATTAATAAAAAAAGTTTGGGAAAAAATTAGGGATATATAAATAAAATTGTACACCCGGTAAGTTGAAACCCTGAAAAGGAGGCTTGGGCAAAAAAGGGTATCCCGATGGACTGAAAATCTGAAAGGACAGTCCAGGCAAAAGTTAGGGATTAAAGCGTACTATTATGTCCCGTCATCTCGTCACTTGTCTATCAGTAGAAGACTTATCTCCCTGATCAGGATTCACCAAAGGCTTTAGAAGTTGAGATATGTTCAAGTCTCCATGAATCCCCACAGAGCCACTTCGATGAGATTATCCCCACAAGGTAATCTTCACAAGTTCATACATTCCCCGCAATTTCTCTAGAAGATCACTCTGGCTAATAAAGGATTATGATATTCTCCCGAACATTTTCACTAACATACAGGATCCCAAACATTACAGTCCATGGGAATTCCTCTACCCGGCTGAGTTTTCAAAACTCTAAAAGCCCCTGCAGATTACTTCTCTCCAGCAGAGCGCATTCTCCTCGACAAAGAGCTTCCCTCAGCAGGATATTACTCCATCGCCAGGGTTTATTTCCCCAACAAGCTCCATATTCCCCACCACGGGTCTTTTCTCAGACTATTACAAATCAACAGACAAAACCCCTTGTCCCTAGTGGAGTTGATACTATTCCCAGTAAGTTGTTGTGAAGCCTGGAATCTGACCAGATAACAGTTTAACTTCATTCTCATAAAGTTGTTGTGAAGCCTGAAATCCAATCAGATAACAATTTAACTTCATCCTCCTAGAAATTTGTTGTGAAGCCTGGAATTCGACCAGATAACAGTTTAACTTTATCCTCCTAGAAAGTTGTTGTGAAGCATGGAATCCGACCAAATAACATTTTAACTTCACTCCTAGGAAGTTGTTGTGAAGCCTGGAATCCGACCAGATAACATTTTAACTTCATTCTCATAAATTTGTTGCGAAGCCTGGAATACGACCAGATAACAGTTTAACTTCATCCTCCTAGAAAGTTAATGTGAAGCCTGGAATCCGACCAGATAACAGTTAACTTCATTCTCCCTAGTAAGTTGATGTGAAGCCTGGAATCTGACCAGATAATAGTGTAACTTCATCCTCCTAGAAAGTTGCTATGAAGCCTAGAATCCGACCAGATAACAATTAACTTCATCCTCCTTAGAAAGTTGTTGCGAAGCCTAGAATCCGACCAGATAACAATTAACTTCATCCTCCTCAGAAAGTTGTTGCAAAGCCTAGAATCTGACCAAATAACAATTTAACTTCATCCTCCTAGAAAGTTGCTGCAAAGCCTGGAATCCGACCAAATAACAGTTAACTTTATTCTCCCTAGTAAGTTGCTGCGAAGCCTAGAATCCGACCAGATAACAGTTTAACTTCATCCTCCTAGAAAGTTGTTGCGAAGCCTGAAATCCGACCAGATAACAGTTAACTTCATCCTCCTCAGAAAGTTTCTGCGAAGC